GGGGTGGCTGACAGTGGGGAGCACCAGCCTGGTTTCTACAGGCCAATTAATGGGTGGAAAGTGAAATATCCAGCTACCACTCCTGTCTGTAGAATGGGCTACAGGGAAGTAACAGGCCAAGAGAGAAGCAGAGAGATTTGCAAAATAAATCTTACACATTTCTGAAACCAGAAGCTCCAGAGTTTGGAGGCTGAACTGAAAACTACCTTTTTAAAAAGAAAAGGTCATATTGTGCAAGTGTATCATATGAGTTCTGGCAATGGATGCGTTTTAAACTGGCAGAACACTATTTACAAACCTATGGTATCAATTTGCAGACAGTCATTAAAGGCATGACTGAGATTTCCCATCTATTTTTAGCGCAAGCAAAATGGAAAGACAAAAAGAAGAAAAGCTGTTGCTTTCACCCTAGATTTATTTTCCCCTCAAACCAAACACGTTGTCTCAGAAGACTGATTGTCCTCTTAGTACTAAAAGCTGGACTGCAGATTTAGTAACTTAACTCTAGACAGATTTGGGTGGTACACATGGCAATAAATGAGTTATAGCCATTGAAATCCTGCAAAATTGCTAATTTTGGAACCTTATTACTAAGATTTATTGCAGGCACTGTGCCACAAGCAGAAACATGCTGTCCTGCAAGCATTACATAAATTCTCTATTACTACCTCTTAACACAGGAGTTCACCAAAGAAAAGTTCACTTATTAAAAAGAATTAATTAAAATTCATCAGTGTAATTCATTTTTCTTGTAGATCAATACTACCTAATAACAAGACTATCAATATCTGGTAAAGTTCTGGGCCATATGTACCATAAAAACCCACACATTTAGTTTGTGCAAAAGTATGTGAATTTACTCTCAGATCATTTGCATCCGGTCAATTACTACAGTGCCATGGGCAAATAACATGCTAAAATGCACACACAGCTACAACTCTTGCTGTTCTGTTTGAACTGGCAGTTATCTAATTGTGATGCAAAATTGCTTTTTCTAAGCTTGATCTGATCTGACAATAGTAATTCTAATGGTTGGACCTCAGGCTTCTTAATTTAAAAAATGGTACCCCCATAATCTGCCCCCCTCCCCTTTCCTGTCTGCTGCCCCCCATCTCCCCCAGTTATCCTCAGGACTGTAAAGGGCTTCCCTCATTGCATTGGTCAGACTTGGGACCCAAGCTTTGAGACAAGTCCTTAGTCACAAGACTTGGTATCAAGATGCTGCAGTAACACATAGCTGGGGAAGTTAAATGCTTCGTTTACAGAGACAGAATAACAACAGAGCTGCCTCAAAAGGCCCCACAACATAAGCTGTTGTACACACTGCAGTACAAGCTCAGTTCCTCCTGCAAGTAATCATTTCGCGTTGAACAGCATTTTCCTTTTTCAGAGGTCTCAAAGGAAGAAGAAATAAAGAAACCAAAACACCCACAACCCAGAAGAAAGCCCAGATCTCTGAAAGGTGGACATCAGATGGAAGCCCTGAAAGCCGCAGTACTTAAGGAGCTGCTGCCTGCAGAAAGGGCTTCAGCACCTCATCATGCCCATTTTTTGGCAGCTGAACATTGCATTTCACCATGGATCAGCTCCCCATCCCTGTGCCTGGCATGTTCATCTGAATGTTGGATCACCTGCGTGTTGGACCAGCTCAGGGGCACAGGATGCAGTGCCTGGGAGAGCCTTCTTTAGGCTGTCTGCCCTGGAGCTGTATCAGAGGGACAGGGCTGGACCTCTCAGAGGGTGCCCCAACACCACAGGTGTGCCCAGCCCTGCCTGAGCTGCACAGAGGCAGCAAGGGGAGCTCGGCATCACCACAGGCACCAAGAAACTTCTTGTAAAAAGCTTTCCACAGCTGCGTTATTCCTGTCTGGAAAACATCTGTTGATGCAAACAGAAATTGAAGGTTTCTCCCGTCACTCCCCCACCTTCCCCTCCCTGTATGCTGGTGTTTGAGAGGGAAAACAGATTTTAGAGATTACTCCCACCACCAGATCCTAACACAGATAATTCTCTTAAAAGGTAAATTTTGAGCTGAAAGCTCACACAGCAGAGAAGAGTTTAATTCCAAGATAATTTTAAGGGAAAGGCAGATCCAAAACAGCATCTCCAAAGTACTCATTTCACCAGACTGTTTGTCTAACTCTGTCCTTGCTGAGAACACAGTCTGCAGAACAGGCTTGGAGCAATGTGATGGCAGTGATAGCTAGCACTGAGCAGGGTTTTATGAAGTGCAGATGCAAAGTTTGGCTAAGACTTTCAAATGCTAAAAGGCTACAGTTGGAATCTGGTTTTTGGAATTATCAAGGTTGTAAGCTCTTCGAAATGTAACCATTTTTGCACATTTTAACACTGCATATGTAGATCAAATATTTTTTCCCACATTCTCTCTCAGGCAGAAAGAAATTAGGCAGACTAATAACGCACACATTTTAGAGATGATGCCTTTGGGGAAAAAATAATACCCTATAGCTAATTTACTGAGGGAGATAAGTGATACTCATCTCCTTTACTACCTAGTATGATATTTAAAGATGCTGCAAAAACCTAATTACCTTATTGATGTGAAGCAGATATAAGACTAAAACCTGTGTAATAGTTAAGCCTGTTGCTATAACAACCACATTTCAAGGACATGGATATACAAAAAACATGCAACAACATCTGCATTAACAAAATGTCTCACTGCGACTGAACTCTACCTGGCAAAAGAACCAGTTAAATGTGAAACTTCTTGGTTCAAAAAGAGAAAAAATTAAAAGAACCCCATTATTTTGTTACTGTCAATGGAATTCCATCTTTAAACACCAACAGCCTCTCCATGGGAGATTTGTTATGTAATTCATCTGGTTTTGGATTCCTCCCCAAATGTTTCCCCTCCAAGGACAAGAAGTGAACCTCAGTGTTCCCAACTCAGTCAAGCAGACATTTAAGCATCTGGTTGTTTCCATTAAACATGTGGGAATATTGCTTTGGAGGTGTATTGCACCACTCTCAGAGATATGACTTCCAGACTTTGCTCACGAAATTAAGAGAATTAAGTGCAGAAACAACTGTTTCACTGTAATGTAAATAACAGGCCAGGCAAGGAACAGCAGAGTTTTTGTTTGTTTGTTCAACAAATTGAGTAATCAACTGGCACAACTTTTTCCCTTATTAGACCATTATTTAGCAGCCCAGGATAGAAAATGGCTATAGAATATTTTTTTTTTTTAAAGGAAGATGGTCAAGCTGAGTTCAATAGAGATGTGTTCAGTGATGTTCAAGAGCGTGGTTTTTGCTTCTCTGAATAAATATGAACAATTTTTACAGGCTGGGGAATTTCAGCTCTACTTGAATATAATAATGCAGAAAGGACTGTTATGCACAAAACGTACTAATAGCCACTGATTAGGATGCCAAGATTGTTACTTCAAAATGAAAGGTAAAGAGAATGCAAACTATTGCATAATACTTTAAACCACCCTAAAGACACCTAAATCGTTACTGTAGAAAGGAGTGGAGCTCATCCTTGCACAGTGATTATTTCCATAGCTTTGGGAGATTTCAGTTTACCCATAAAACATCCCACAGCTAGAAAGACCAAAAGTGAGTTGGATCTAATTTAGGAAATAATTATTTTCAGCATAAAAATTATTCATCGTGCAAGTTTCAAATACATAATAAGGGGTTCATAATCATATTGCTGTTTGCAAAAGGATGAAAACAGCTTCCTCCTAGTTAAATCTGTGCTTTGCAATACTAGGCATGAAACATGGCAGTGGAGAGATAAGAGGTGGTAGCAGTACTTGTACACCTCTGATTTACAAGTGTCTTGACATTTCTGTGCCCTGTTTCTCTCATCAGAGCATCTCAAGCAATATAACTCCAACGATAAACGCAAATTGCTTTGACTTTTGTTTCATTCCCCTCTCCTCTTTTTCGGTTTCCTGGATTTACGTAATTACATATTCTAGGAAGACAGCTTCAGAAGCAAGATTAAATTCAGCACAAGTTTCACAAAGCTTTCCAGAACTGTGACTTTGTTAATAATAAACACAAAATAGAGGTTTCCCTACAACTATCTTTTAGTTCTCTCTTGAAAATAGTAGCTGTGGCTTCGAATTTACGTTATTGTTTTCATTTGACTGCACACCTGTTAAAGAAGCAATAAGAGCACTGGAAGCAGAAGTCAACAACTGCATTACATTCAAGGTTCAAGGTTTCTGGTTTCAACACAGATTGCATACTAGGAAGGCAGCTTGCCAAAGTCAGACCACAGAAAGAGATTTAGCAATAAAACTCACACTTCTTTTTTTTTTCTTCTTAAATGTAAACATTAACTCTGCAATTTATTAGAGCAAAACAGTAGAAGGCAACAAGTATGTCATGCCATTGATGATGGAACAACACAAGTTACAAGCTTTAACAAAACTATCAGCATCCTTTAGATGAGCTTTTCAGCTGGATGAATTTGCAATCACCGTCTTGTACCTGTTTCTAAATTCACTTTTAAAAACTAAGCACTTTTAGCAATCTGCTTATCAATTACCAAACCCACTTGACTCTTCCAATTCAGAGGTCTAATGGCAGGGGAAGGAAAGGTTAAATGTATCATACAACATGTTACAGCAGCTGTTAAAGCCAAAGGCTGAAACCCAATCCACAAGTGCAAAAGGGACAGAGCTGATTTATTAAATCGTAAGATGAAAGCAGAAGGTGCTGCTGTGATGCTAACCACCATAATCAAACACTGCAAACTAGCAGCTCTTTGCTCAAAAATGTGTTAAGTAAGATTAAGATCAGAAAAGCTAAATGTAAGTTATTAATTTGCAAATGAGATCCAATATAACCAAATAATGCTTGTGGACAATGTCTGATTCCTATCATCTAAAGACCATGAGCACCTAAACTACACATGGAAAGCAAGTAACAAAATAGCTTCTAATTACAGGAAAAAGCTGACAAGAAGAGAGGAAATCACCTAATCCCTTCATTGACATTAACTGGTGTCACACTCATACCTCTATCCAAACTGCAGCCATCATCCTCCACACCTCACTCTTTTCTTCTTGAGTGTGAGAAGAGGTAAACCCTTATTCACGCCAAATGGTATAGCTGAAAAAAATACAAGCATATCATCATTAGTTCAGATATTTTGTAGCCTTAAGCATCTGGAAGCCAGTGAAGAGCTACCTCCTCTTCAAAAGAGCAATTTTCCTAAGAGGAACTCAGACATGGCTGAGGCATGCTGAGCAGCCTTGGAGTCCCTGCTAGACCCTGCACAAGCAGGGGCAGGCTCCCAGCTGGAGGACAAGCAGCCCTAAGGCTATTCTGACATGTGCTAGACACATTATTCTATCTTCTTCCATTTCAGAGAGCTGTATTGGTTTCCCCAGTACTCATTTTCCTATTGCTCATCCCTTTTAGCCCCCAGCACAATTTTCAAATTACAAACAATGATAAGAACAATGTGCACAAAGTGACTGATGTTAAATATTGTCATCTGTCTCCACTAAAACCTCTTGGTTATTCAGCATAACAACTGGCGAGAAGACAGATGACATCCTTTATATATTTCAGCAAATTTGCTCTATTATCAATTATTTATGCTCACTTTTGGTTAGAGATGTGCAAGACAGCCCATTTTTCATTTTCCAAACTGAGGCTCTCAGGACTGGATTCAATTACAGCTAAATTATGAGATAAGGTTAGGGATAAATGTTGACACCCTCTGACAGTCTTCACAGACTCTGGTGAGGGTGAATGTTTGCTTGTACGACACAAGAACAGGGCAACCTTCAGCTTCAGCCTAGCAATGCCATGATGAGGGCTGCCTTGGGGCCACACTGTGTAGAATAGCTGTCACTTCCACACAGGATCACAAACGATCCTTTCGTTCTGCCTGTACTGTCAGCAACACCAGTAAGTGCTACATGTTTCTCATGAAGAGGGAAAATGCTCCATAGAGTTGTTCCACAGAAGCATTTGAGATGGTCAGAAATTTGTCCTATCTTAATAAAAATTTTAGTGCCTTGACTAAAAAAAGAGAAGTGCACACCTAAAATATACATCCTAAATCATCACATTCCTGTTTCTAATGCAATGGTTGGTGAGAATTTAGCTTAGGTACATCCTGTTTTCCTTCCTGAGCAGCCTTAGTCAAGATGCTCCTGAGGGTAGGAGACTTTCTCATGGATGTGAAATGGCCAGAGAGTATCATGGGCTACCACAAAAGCAAGTTCATGGAGGGCAAGGAGAACATGAAGACAGAATTACAACCTTATAGTATGTTGCCCTAGAGTAGATAGTTGCAACATTTCATGTGGAAAACAAGTACTTTCTGGGAGAAAGTCCCCATAAACCATCAATAGATTAGATGCAAAATGCTTGCTTACATCCAGGTATTATCCTACAGAAAGCAATGAGCAATGTATCGGGAGCGCAGCTGTGCTGCCAGCGGCAGGTTTGCTGCCAGGACACCTTGGCTGGAGGAGCTCCCCCAGCTCCGGTAGAGCCGCGCTGGCTGCACCCACCCCAAGGTCTCCGCTGCAGCCACTAGAGGTCAACACGATCACACGCTTGAGAGCCCCCAGCTCAGCCCGGGCAGGAGCCCGCGCTCGGCTCTGGCTCCTCAACATCTGCTGTTTGATGCCAGTCGGGTCCGAGGTGGGTTGGGGTCGCTGCTGACCTCTGGGAGCAGTGAGGCTCCACGCGGGAAGCTTTAGGCACCTCCCTATGGCTGCGCTGCTCCAGTCTGGACCTGCACCACAACCATCCTGGCAAATCGGGATGCGCAGCCGTGTGGAGAGAGAGCAGCAAAACAGCGCGTGGTGCTCGTCAGCAGGTGAGGACTAAGGAGGCTCTTCTGAGCTGTGGCTGATGATCTGCTTAAACCCTGAAATACAAAACCAGGAAATCCTTTTATAGAGAACAATGCCAAATACGCTTCTTGCATATTCATATTGTCCACGATTTCCAGAGACAACCAGTATTTAGTTCAGGACTGTTATTTATTTTGTCTGCTGTAGGAGCTTGTTTAACTATCCAGCATTTTGGATTCTGAGAAATCAGTGGGTAGAAAAGGCATATACATTCAGTGGAAAACAGCTCTCCAACCAAACAACAACCTCCAAAATACCATTTTTTTTTTCTGCAAGGACTAACACTGAACATTGTTATGAAATTATTTGTCTCTCCTTTCCCCAATTTTACTGCTGCAACTTGATAATTTCTTCCCTGACTCAATGTTTGCTTTTCATAACCTGTCACTAAAGTTCCCATTTTTAGCAGTCTGTTATTCAAACATAGAAACATTAATAACGTCTTCACAACTTTCTGTCCAACAGCATTTACATCTACACTGATTTCCCCCATCCCAGTTAATTGTCACATTCTTGTATAGTCTTGGGCAATGTTCAGCCTCATTTTAACTTCCTTCATTTGCTGCCTCTGTGAGACAAATGCCCTCCGTCTACCACTGTATCAAGGGAGGGAACCAAACATGTGATAAGTTTTAGCAAAAGACAAACATCACAAAGTTTACCCACACCTTTATATTCTACCCACCTCCAGAAAAGAGCAAGTCTTCAACAGATTTTTCTCAATAAAGATAGTTTTAAAGTGCAGGTAACAGCAGATTCAAGTTATTGATGACTTCTGAAAGCTTCCATACTAAAGGAAAAATATTATTATAAGCCTTTTTATGTTTTCTCCTTATTGACATGCAAGCATTATAGATGAACTGCTATCTGAATTGTGGCTTATTGTAGAATGCAAACTGAGACCTATGGTTATACTAATAGCTTTTCAAGGTCTCTTTATAACAGTAATTCCATTTTCTTAGAGTAATTACATATATTTATTAAACACTGCAAACCACTTTATAGTTTTAGGAACTTGCAATTCCACAATGCTTCAAAAACTAAGAGTCCATATACAATTTTTAAGTCTAGAAATGTAGGATGGTTAATTATTAGAAATTTCATAAAGAGCCTTGATATTCTCCCACCTATTTGGGATTAAAAATATTAAATTATTCTATTGATTGGTAAAACATGTCCTTTAAACTTTTTTTTTTTCCTTTTGCTATTTTGCAGTTTATTCTTGTTGAAGAAGAAACTAGGAACATGTATCTTAAGAGACCACAGCAAAAGTACACACTGGTTTCTAGAAAACAAAATGTGCTTTTGATGAGCAACTGTTGCCCACCCTGCCTGCTGAAGGTTTCCTGCTGTGCATGGAGAAAGGCTCTTGGGGCAGCAGGATGGTGAGCACCTCAGCAGGAGGAGTGTTGGGCTCCCTGCTCCATTGCTGCACTCCTTCCTTGGAACTTTCTAGAGCAGGATCTAGAAAGGAACCGTGGGCTGAGAACTCAAGGGTTAGGGTGATTCCCCAGGAGTATGTTCCTATCCACCCAGTATCCTCCTGTTTCGCTGTCCAGTCCTGTGCTGGGCACACCAGTGTCTTCCCAGTGTGAATCACTATGCCATCCATAGCCCCTGAATGCTTTCCTGTGGCTTCTCCCAGCTGTGACAGTCCCCACCTGCAGTGCTGGCAAAGACAGTGAAAATAATGAATGCAACTCTAGCAAGAGGCACAGGGTGTGGAACAGGGAAGATTGTTTTTGAGTCTAGGGTTCACGTGTATTTCAGGCATGGGTTTAGCTACTATAAAGAGTTGGAAAAGTCTTCTCAGACCTCATGAATCATTCTCAGCTAATGAGAGCACAGTGTGGTTCAGCTATCAAATAAACATGCGTTATCTGCTCTTAGCCCTGGTGGACGTGACTGCGGGGCTGAAACGAATCAGCAGAGCCCCGGCTGCTTGAACACGCAGGTAGGGATTAAGTTTCACTTTGCTTTTTTGCTGTTGTGTGCACTGATTTATTTGGTAACAGAAAGACCTCAGGGAAGACAGTGCCAAAAGCACTGCTGAGTTCCTGTAAGGTTAAATTCATTCTTCTGCCAGTAAGATTTTAGTATGTTATAAAAAGAAAACAATGTGGCCTTGCAAACCTCTCCAGGTTTCTCCCTACTCTGGTCCTGAAGGGAGGGCAAACCAGAACTATATATATCCCAACCAGAACTATATATCCAACTATACCGCATTTGGAAAAAAAGAAAAAGTAGAAAAACCCACCAAAGCTCCGCCATGTTAAAAGTTTTTCTTTCTCACTTTTTGTTGTTTGTTTTTTTCTCTTCCCTGCTGCCTGTTCGTTTCTGTCTGCAGGCAGATACTGAAGACTTAGAGAAAGACATTTCAGAAAGTCGTGGCTGTGAAAGACAGCAGTCAGTTTATCAGAACCTTAACACAGCCCTGGAAAGCCGTAGCATTCAAAAATGGGTTGAAGAGCTTCTGCAAAGATCCTCTAAACCAGGCAAAATTCCCACTGACGCCACCCAGACTGCTGCTTAGATAAAGGCTGATGTCTCACATCACTGGAAGGGAAAGCACATCAGTGAGCAAATTTCATGCCGTCAAAATACAACCTCAGTCATGATACTTGAAAATATTTAGATGCGTGGTTTTTGTTTGCTTATAATTTTAGCAAAGCTCCACATTTCATATCTTTACACAAAACGAGATCTTATGCAAAACTTTTCAGTTTCACATGTAAACTGGGAGCAGGGTGGGCACTTTCCTAAATCAATAAATATTTTCCAACACTTCTGTATTCATAAGATATTAAATAAATCAACATGCATTATCTAAGCATAACTCTCCTGGCCTGTAGTTGTGGGCAGACAAAATCAACCAGCCCAATTATTTGCCTGGGAAAGCCAAAGAAATGAGTATTGTATACCTTCTAATACATCAGATATTACACAGGGAAATGTTTACCTCTCTTCTAAATGTAAATACAACTTCTGTTCTTCAGATATGTGGAACTGTAACCAAGCAACACTTGATAGATCATTATCAAATCCTAAAAACACGTTGAGGAGACTACCTTCCACTTTTATTTCATTTACAGAGAAATAGGTGATCCTACACTTGAGATTGATTTGTGATAGCATATAGCATTTGTTATCTTTGTGGAGTGTAGGATTTGAATGTCTTGCATTCCATCATCACCAAACCATCCTGGATCCAAGGCTCTGTCCTGGATCAGCCTT